AGCTGACATTTCAGAAGAGGAAGCAGACGATAAATAAGATAAATAAGCAAAACACAAATTAAATTAGGTAGTGATAAATGTTAAAAAGAAAATAAAGCTGGAGAGAAGGATTTTTTTTTTTTTTTTTTAATAATTAATCAGTGAGAGAAGGATTTAAAGTGAGGGTAAAACTGTAAATAGGAAGGCCAAGGAAGATCAGATAAAGTAGAAAAGACAAATAACCACATAAAACATTAGGAGTAGGTGTATGAAGAAAAACAAAACAGAGTATAGGCAAAAAGAGTGATGGAGAAGTGAAGCTCAAGGAAAAAGGGTGATCAGGAAAACCTTTTTGAAGAGGTAGCTTTTGAGTAGAGACTCAGAAAGAAGTAAGAGATACAGTCATATAATGACATGGGAAAAGGGCATACTGGGGCACACTCAATTCAAAACTCCTATGGCAGGAGCAGGCTTTCCAAGTTCAAGGAACAGCAAGAAGCCAATGTGACAGGAGTAGAAAGAGCAAGGGACTATGCAATTTTTCTAACAGCAAGCTAAAGACTGTAGACAGCCATTCTGCATTTGGGGAGTCATACACATAGAGTTTAGGGACTTGTTTCAAATCAGTTCAACAGATTATTCAAAAGTCATTATTGCTTTCAAAATACAAGTGGAGAAGACAAAAAAAGAGAAAGCAGGATGAAACAGGCTGAGCCACTGAGCAACATACACTCTGGCAGAAAAACAAGGCACACGCATGGCAAGTTCAACAGCCAATCACAGGAATCATGGGGTAAGCTGGTAACATTATCTTCTTAGTTTTCAACATTGCTACTGAGGAGAAAAAAGCGAAAACAGAAAAGGATGTAAGGATTTATTTAGAGTATTTTCAACTCTTATTTCTTCCTTGGTTTGAAAGCACAATGTCGTAAGCAAGAGTTTCTGCTGTTCTGTATGGCATCCATAACAGCTCTTGCTGAAGAGGAACTGTGTTTCACCCATTTGGAATCCCTTCCATGGTGTCAGGCACACGGTAAGGTTCTCAGCAAATGGTGAGTGAGGAAGCAGGGAAAAACATTCATGCTCCAGCAAACTGGACACTGTCCATCTGACCTAACAACTCTTAAGTGATTTGAAGATGAATACCAAAGAACCCTCCAAAATAAAATAATTTCTATAAATATATTTTACTGACCTACATGTCCATTAGGGTAAAACTTCAAGAAGGGTAAAAGCAAGCAGGCCTTAACAGTTAAAACAGCAATTGAACTGTTGAGGCCACTGGAGCCTTGATAAACACCAAACTGGTTCTCTGCCACAATAACAAGTGAAAGTCCATTTACTGCTCTCCTTCCAGAACACCTCTTAATCTCTTTTTAAAATGGTACACGGGACCTACTTTATCCAGTCAGCAAACATTTTCAGAGCACTCACTACAAACATGCCACCTTGGCAGGGTGTGTTAGCTCATGCCTATAATCCCAGCACTTTGGAAGGCCGAAGCAAGAGGAATGCCTGAGCCCTGGGTTTCAAGACCAGCCTGCACAACTTGGCAAGACCTCAACTCTACGATAAATCAAAAATTTAACTGGGCATGGGACCACACGCCTGTAGTTCAGGCTACTTGGAAGGCTGAGGCAGAAGGATCTCCTGAGACCAGCAGGTTGAGGCTGTGGTAGCCATGAGTGTGCCACTGCACTCCAGCCTGGGTGAGAGAGTGAGACTCCAACTCAAAAAAACAAAAAAAAGTACCACCCTAACTGGGGTCCAAGCATAAGGAAGTGACGGTCTCTGCAATTAAGAGTTAGTTGGGGTTTAAGGTAGGGTTTTGTTAAAGAAAGGAAGAAGAGGGAGAAAGACAGATATAAAAACGACTCACTGCAATACAATGTAAAAAGTATTCCATAATAAGAATGAACAAAGAATTATGGAAGTATAGGGAAAGGATTAATTACAAAAGTATAAGGAAAGGGTCTCAGAGAAGAGTTCATGCCTGAAGCACAGCTGTGGTTTTGCTTTGCAATAACCTAAAATGATAAAGAGGTAGAAACACTACTATTATAAACTACTATTGCTTTTCACTACTTACAAATAGAGAAAAAAATACTCAATATGAAAAACTTCTTTGATAAAAAAAGATTAACCCCCCCCAAAATCTGTATGTCTTCAATGTGTTTAAAAATGAGTATAACTTAAGGGCTTATTAAAAAAAATCAGTCTCTTCAAAGTTTGTCTAAGCAACATATCCTAAAACAATGATTCAAAATAACAGTATCTTCTAATTACCCTCTGCTGCAACAGGTATAACTAAAGTATTTATTGCCAGTGTAGCAATATATAGCAATGTATAGTACACAACTATTTTGTAAACCAATTCTGAAATTTCAAGGTAAAATCAAATGTACATATAAGCCATCAACAGAAGACGCTAACAATAAATGCATACAAATCTGAGGAGAACTTGCCTTTAAAAAAACTTTAAGAGATAAGTAGCCCTTTTCTCTATACTAACAATTGACAATAAAAAATGTTATTTCTATCCAGATTAAATTCATTTTGCAAAGAGGCAGAAAACAATAGAAAGAATTATATTCTAAAATATTCATAATATACATTTATAAAATACAAAGGACATATCACTAACGATTCAGATCTAAAATTATTTGAAAATGAAACACGCATTCCCAGCTTTTTGCTTTTTCTTTACTTTTCTCCAAACAAATAATTACTTTTCAAGTACTAAGAATAATGTCAAATAAGAAGTCTGCAACATATTTCTGGAGCTTCCTAACCATCAACTCTACATAAATATAGGTCCAAATCCTGGCCACATACATGTACACTTTAGTATACTACTAAACCTATGTAAATCTCAGCTTTCTGAATAACAGAGATAATGTCAAAATTATTTCAAGATCAGATATAAGTATGTGTCAAATACATATAATTGCTCTGTAAGTGCTGACCATCATCGCTAATACCTCAGTCTACAAATATGATATTGCGTAGAAGCAGCAGGAAGAAATGGGGAAGCCGAATGATCCCCAATTCCAATAACATCTCTTAACATTGGAAGTTTCCAGTAGCTAAAGCCAGTAACAATGATTTCAGTCAGAATTATTACAATCTCATACAGTGTTTTATAGATTATAAGCAGATTTCATATCTGTCAATTCATCTGTTAGTAAAAATATGCAATGTGACTAAGTAAGACAGGGATTGTCAACTCATTTTAAAGATGAGTAAACTCAAGTTCAGAAAAGGATAAATCATGCAATTAATAACTAAGCCAAGCCAGGCTCGGTGGTTCAACCTGTAATCCCAGCGCTTTGGGAGACTAAGATGAATGGATTGCCTGAGCTCATGGGTTCGAGACCCACCTGGGCAACTTAGCAAGACCTCATCTCTACAATAAAATCAAAAACTAGCCGGGTGTGGTAGCGCACGCCTGTAGTTCCAGCTACCTGAAAGGCTGAGGCAGAAGAATTGCCAGAGCCCAGCAGGTCGAGGCTGCGGTGATCCGGAGTGTGCCACTGCACTCCAGTCTGGGTGACAGAGTGAGACTCCAACTCAAAAAAAATAAAACAAAATAACTGAGCCACATTTACTAGTAGGCCAGTTCACTGTACGTAGAGGATCTCACAACTGAATGAGCCATGTTACTCTTTTATCTTCTGCCTCAGTAACCAACCTACACAAGGTAAACTTGTACTCCTCTCTTCTCTCAGGTGCCAATCTGGCCTGAGGCTAATGTCCTGCCCTTCTGTGAGCTATGCACTGAGGCAAATATATTCTCTCTGCTTCATTCTTACAGAGATGATCTGGTCTCCAGAAGACTGTCACATGTTTCTACAGACACGCACAGAGATTCCACACAGGTTTAGAGTGTATGTCACATGATGTAACCGAATTATCAAACAGCCTTGAGTTGAGATTAAGAGCATTAGTCTAGTGGTAAAGTGGTATTTCAGTTTCCCATTTTTCTTTGTTTCTCTTGAATTTTATATGAAGAAAGGGTTACTGTGCAAAGCAGGATACAGACATTCCTGGGTGCCCTGGACCCACCGCCTAATATTGTCAGAACCACACTTCAATTTCCAAAAGATACGACTAATTCAAACATATTGTTATCCTGTGGCAGGATGTGGCAAATGCTCAAATATATTTCTTGTATGATTGAGTGAATAAATACAGAAACATGTAGCTGGTTCAGGATCAACAGTGGCCTCATGGCAATCACTAGCTCAGGGCAGGAAAGGAGTTGATAGCAGTTAAAGGTATTTCCTTTTGAAAGGCAAGTTGCAACTTTAAAACCCGCCCAGGGGGCCAGGCAGGTTTTGTTTGGGAAAGGCCAAATGGCCCAAAGACTAGCCATTTAATGAATATGCAAAAAGAGTGGCTATTTCACAGACTTATCCAAAAACCCCCCTTCTGAAGTTGACAGTTTACAAGCCTGCAGTTCCTGGAAACCATTTGTTCTTTGAAAAATCTGATTTTGCTGAGTACAACCCTATAAGATTCCAAAGGAAATATGTAATCACGCAACACGACCCCCCCTCCCTTACCTAAACGAGGGTATAAGACCCCACATCTCCTGTTCTGGGGTGCTCGAGCTTGATTTGGATGCATGAAATTCTCAGGCCCGCTGTGCTAGCCAGCATAATAAAGTGCCACTTCCTATAATAGTCTCCTTGTCACGATCTCTCTATTTTTCCTGCTACATTTCTAAAAGCTGTTCTTAACCAGGAAACAATACATATTGAGTACAAGGGAGTGAAATCAAGAGGCTTTCAAAAAGAAAAAGAAAGTTTGTGTTCATTAAGTTCAGGCGATTCTGTTATGCTAGAAACATTCTGGTTTCAGGATTATTTAAAAATAACATTTAGAAAAATTTGATTATCAGAAAAAACTGTTTAGATAGATTGCATTAAAATTATTACTTTTTTAAATTTAGGGTGTTCAGCATGAAACAACAAATTAATACTATTTAGAAAGAAGAATAATTTAACACAGCCACATACCAAGCTTCAGGGAGCAAAACAGCATATTCATGTGGAGAAGTGGTCTCTGGGAAGTTGGAGAGAATCGCAAGGCGATGAGGAAGCAGGTCTGAACCATGGTACGTGAACAGAATTTCGAGGGCTTGTACATTACTTTCCTGTACAAAAGGCAAAGGGCACATTTCTAATGTGAGCCTTAGAAACAAAGGAGTGATTTTATAAGCAACATTCAAAAACTTAAAATTAACTTTTGTATATAGTTCTGATATGAAGCAATTTGAAATAATCCTGGATTTTCCTACTTGTATCACATTTCTCAATCTAATGCTAAAAAACTATTTATTTTTAAAACTCAGAATGATAAACAAAAATTTTTAAAAATATAACTCCATTTGCTTTACATTTATTACTATTACAACTAAAAAAGAAATGTAATAGTACATGCATGCAATAACATTAACAGCACAGTTCAAAGATTTAGAGAGTATTAATAATCATAATTGTTTTATTTATAAAAAGAAATTACCCGAGCATAAGTTCTTGCTGAGAGAACAATATTCTGATTTCTGAACTTCTTAAAGAATTCAGCATCATATCTCTGTTCAGAAGCATGAGGCACTCCTAGGATTTCCTTAGGGGAAACAGTGATTTAATGAAAAGGTTTTTAAATATGGGTGACAATATTAAAATCTTTTTTCAACTTTGCCTGCCTAAATTAATTAATTTCAACTATCAATTGTTAACTAAAGTACCGCATCTGCATTCTTGCCTTTATTTTGAAAAGGACCATATTAATAAACGCTGGTTTTTTTAAAAAAATCTAGACGTAAATGAAGTTGGCAGTAAAAATTAAGTTAATTACAGTAGGGCAACCAAAATCAACCACCTGTTAAAAACAAATAAGCAACAATTATAAATGGCTGTGCATTATAAGCACCTATCACCTCTACATGAAAACTTAAGATTAATTTTACTACTGCTAGAGTGATCTAAGTAGAATGCAGACTAAAGCATTCATTCATTCATTCATTCACTATTTACTGAGTACACCATGCACTAGGGGTGAAAGGCACTGATGATACATCAAACAATATACTTTCCCTGCCCTCTATGTAGCTTAAAGTCAAGTAGGGAAGATAAACAGGCAAATAGAAAATAGAAACAGGTAGGGGGGAATACATAGGAAAGTGCCACAGCTAGTTCTGGGAGCACAGGGAAGACTTCCCAGAAGTGACCCCGAGTTGGGACATAAGAGGCAAAGAGGAGTTAGCCCTGGAATTGCGAGTGTAGGTCTCCTCACTACAAAGTATGACTTAGAGCTCATGTCTGCCAGGTTTAATACTGAATTTCAGCTTCTTAGCACATTGCATGGCACATAACAATAAAAGTCAATAAATATTTGTGGACCAAATTAATCTACTATAGATATACTATAGTGTGGAACTATACCACATCTAAAAGGAGCTACCCAGTGAGCAGATGATTATAGTCAGGAGTTCAGGACTAAGAAATGAGTTTGAGATAGATGTAGAGTTATTAATGAAAGTGAGTGTGCTTTCAAGGGAGATGAAGTAGAATGAGTTGAAAGGAACCTTAAGAAAAAACACCTAGCCAGGGGGGGTGGTGCACACCTGTAGTTCCAGCTACTTGAAAGGGTGAGGCGGAAGGATCGCCTGAGCCCAGCAGGTTGAGGCTGCAGTAGCCATAAGCGTGCTACTACACTCCAGCCTGGGTGATAGAGTGAAACTCCAACTCAAAAAAAAAAAGAATAAACACCATTTAAAGGATAAGCAAGAAAAAGAATATTTGCATCTGAAAAGTATATAAAGAAACAAGAAAAGTAAAGAGGACAAAAAGAATATAATGGATATTCATGATAACTAAAAGAAAGGCATTTTGAGAATGTTCTCAGTTCCTTGATTCTTCACCCACAACAATTACTTCCTTGATTTAATCTCATTTACAAATCCTATGACCAAACCCTAGATCTCTATCATTACTAAAAGGCACTATCTGAAACATCTCAATGCCTGGCACTCAACTCTGACTACCTGCTCCTATTAGTCCCATTCAAATACTATGTGGCATTCCAACAATTTCTCAACCTCCCTGGGGCATCCAATCCACTGCCCCTACTTCTTTGTTGACCTTCCATTTCCTCTCAAAATCCCTCTGCCTTCTCATTTGCTTAAAGTCCCTGGTCCATCATTATAAAGGAAGTCTTCAATCTCTTCCTCTTTTCCTTTATCATACTCACCTGGCAGAAACCTAACCTTAGTCAAACCCAACTATGATCCATGAACACAAACTACAAAGTCACTGAAGAACTATCACCAAATGAAGCTGATAGTTTCTATTTGAATTTCAAGTCCTCAACTTTGTTTGGATCCTGATTCAAGTGAACCAACTGCTAAAAAAACAAAACAAACAAAAAAAGCATTTCTGAGGCACTAGTGAAATCTGAACAGGAAGTAGGTATCAGATGACATTAGGGAATCACTACTGATTTGGTTAGAAATAACAGTGTCGTTGTGAATATTCTTTTAAGTCCTTATCAGAGATACACACCAAAGTATTTATGGGTAAAATGGTATCTGGATTTTGCTTTAAAATACTTAAGTGGAAAAAATAAAGGTTGAAGCTGAGCAATGGGCACATCAGAGTTTATCATACTATTCTCTATACTTTCATGAAAGTGTGAATTTTTTTATTCTAAAATTTTTTATACTAAAGGTAAAAAAATTGATAAACTGAAAACAACAAAATTTAAATCAATAATTAGCACTGGGCAACCCCCTGCTCCCACTGTAGGAGTTTTTCTGTGCTCTCAATAAATCAGAAAAACAATAATAATAATTAACACTGTTCCTCAATGCTACTACATTTCCCTAAAAGTTTTTTTTCTAGTCTCTGATAAGAACTTCACCACAACTCTTTCATTCTTTTCAGACTTCCAACATCCTATTCCCCAACCCCCTTTTTCAGCCGAAAATCTCATTTTTTTTTCTTTCACGCTCTTAGATATGAACTCCCTCATTTTCCAGTCCATCAAAACTACAAATTTATTTGCATTAGTAATGATATGACTTTCCTTCCTTCCAATTAGAGCAGAAAGAACATATCTCTGTTCCCAAAAAAGCCTCAAAATTCCATCCGTGCTCTGGATCCATTTCTACTCCACCTCTATAATCATGCAAGTATCCCTTTTTCTTCTTTTTGAAAAATTCCTCCTCACTCCTCTACTGATTCACTTCCATTAACATACAATGTTTCAGCCTTCTATTATAAGAACCACCCCTAAGCTCATATATCCCTTCTAGCTACCTACTGCTCCACTTCACAGTAACTCCCTGAAAGAGCTGGCGCTGCCCACAACCACTGTCTCCACTCCCCCTGCCTTCTAGTCTTTCCTAAACTCACTCAACCTCTGAAAATAATTCAATTTCTTACACAGCATGAGACCTTTCCAAGCACAGTCATAAACTATTCTAACCATATGTCTCACCTATGTTCTGTGCCAACCCCTGCCCCCACATCCCGTGGTCCAGCTAACCTGGCAAGATTACTTTCTCAAGAGCATGCCATCTGCTTTAATGCCACTGGGCCTTTATGCATCATACTGATCATCTACAAAGGCTACTAATCAAAAAGGCCTGGTTATGATTTCTTGCTTCCTATTTATTGGAGTAAATCACCTTCTCTAATCCTCAGTTTTCATATCCATAAAATTGAAAGGATAATAGTGCCTGCCCTAAAAGACTGCTGGGACATAATTTGGATAAAGTACATAAAACAATGACTGATGAAAAGTATGTCCTCAACAAAGGTGTTGGTGTTTCTTAAGATATTCTCTTACCTACTGGTGCTTTTGACAAATTTTTTTTTTTTTTTTTTGAGTTGGAGTCTCACTCTGTCACCCAGACTGGAGTGCAGTGCCTGCTCCTGGCCACTGCAGCCTCGACCTGCTGGGCTCCAGCAATCCTTCCACCTCAGCCTTCCAAGTAGCTGGAACTTCAGGCACGCACCACTACGCCCAGCTAATTTTTTGATTTATTGTAGAAATGAGGTCTCGCCAAGTTGCCCAGGTCAACAAACATTTACATAGTTCGTCTATGAGACAGCTATCATTCCGAGCTCTGGGGATATAGCAGCAAACAAGGCAAAAGCCTAACTTTATGGATATTCCACTCTACTGTCCCCTTACTATACTCCCCACTCCCTAAAGACTGCCTTCCTCTTGTTAAGGGCTGATTTTAAAATGTTATTTCTCATGTATCCCCAGGAACAATTTAATGTTTTTCTTCATTAGGCTCCATGCCTTTACTGTCAGCATTGAATGACTCTACAATGTGGACTCATTGAAGACTGTTCCTTCTTCATCTCTCTACCTCCAGCCATGGCATAATACCTGGCACATAGTGGGCACTCATGTCAAATGTAAATTAATTCATTTTTATCTCATTTGTTAATAAAATAAGCCAAGCCTTATTATTAAAATGCAATGCCTATATCTATCAACTAACTAGCTAACCATTATATCTGAAAATTTCCATTACTGAGTTTTAACAACCAAATTCAACAAATTCACCTACTTTTTAAAAGTTGTACTTAATTGCTTTAAAAAAAGTGGACTCAACAAATACGTTAAATTCCACTATTACAATGTAATAATGAATGTACTTAATACTGTCATGGAAACTAGCAATTCAATAACTAAGAATAATTAAAGAAAATTAACTGCAGAGTCAAACTCTGAACATTTTAAGCACCTCTATTTCAAGATATCATCAATGAAACTACGGTTAACTCTACAAATAATAAGCTGTACCTGTATAGACTTCTGCAATTCACAACAAGCCTTTATATATTGCCTCAAAATATCACAGGACTCACACATGGCAACAGGACATGCTTTAAAGTAATGTGACCACATAACAGCCAAACTACTTGTAATTATACACAAAACTATCTGGAATATTCCTAATTTGTTTGCATGTAATGATATATTTATTACCAATGTATTCTAATAACCAGAATAATAGAAATAGTGCTCTTCTAGTATTTTGTTTGAAAACATTTCAATTATATTAGCAGGGTGGGAGAATCAAAGGTTTTTGGATTTGCTTTCATGGCCAGAAGTTCTTGGGATAAGAAACAGATTATTAGATGTGACACAGAATGCCTACCATGTGCAGTAGCCAAAAGCTGAGAGACATATGCCCACAGGAAGGAGGTGAAAGACTGAGCCGGGCTCAGTGGCTCAGCCTGTAATTCCACGCCTTGGGAGGCTGAGGTGAGTGGATTGCCTGAGCCCATGGGTTCAAGACCCGCCTGGGCAACTTGACGAGCCCTCATCTCTACAATAAATAAAAAAGTAGCTGGGCGTGGTAGCACGCGCCTGTAGTTCCAGCTACTCAGAAGGCTGAGGCAGCAGGATCGCCGGCGCCCAGCAGATCAAGGCTGCAGTGGCCGGGAGCGGCCACTGCACTCCAGTCTGGGCGACAGAGTGAGACTCCAACTCAAAAAAAAAAAAGAGAAAGACAGACTGACTAAAGAAGTAACCTCCACGTGAAGTCAAACTTCACTAATGAAAAATTATTTGAAAACCTGGGTAACTTCAGCTATGAGAGTCACATGAAAACGCAGTCTAAACTACGTATACTTATCAAAATATGGCTCATGTCCATTTATACCTTTAATAATATCTAAACTCATCTTATAGTACAGAGTGCTATTGAAATGTCCAACATGGGGATATTTGTGTTTGCGACCCTAAAAATCCCAAATATATAAGGGAGAACCCAGAGAAAACAGAATTTATCTATTAAAAAATTACATATTTATTCTTACATGTTTAAACATCAATCGTCTTCAAAATACTGATCATTTGATATAATACACCTAACAAGTTGCTTTTTCCACTGCTCAAAACAATTATTGAACGTGTCAGTTTTGACATCTTTTAGTGCTTCTACTGTTTTTTGTTTCACCTCTTCCACGTTGGCAAAAACATTTCCCTTTGAGGACTTTTTTCATAGAGGAAATAAAGTCACCTGGGGCAAGATTGGGTGAACAGAGAGGGTGAGGCATGAGGGTCATGTCAATTTGGGTCAAAAACTGTTGAACACTCAGCAGGTGTGGGCAGGTATATTGTCATGGTTAAAAAAAAAAAAAAAAAGCAGTCTCCTGTTTGCCACAACTTGGAGCATTTCTTCCACAAATCGTGACACACCCTTCTCAAAACTTCCAGATAAAAACTTTGGTTGACTGTTTAATCCAGAAGTACAAATTTCCAGTGTACTACAAGGGGCCCGCCTTCCAAAAGATAATTCCAATTTTTTTTGGGCCCCCCCCTTATAATGTAGATGGTTTTTAAAGCTCAAGTGTCTAATTTTCGCCCAATTAAAAGGTGAACCAAATAAATTCAACCTACTAACCAATCATCAAGATGAAAGAGTCAGAAATAGTCATATTAAGATTATTAAAACCCAGTCTATACTGAAATCTGGTACTGAAAGCAGTTGTATGTCATTATCTTAAAATCAAAATATAAAATAAAAGTAAATTAAAAGGACTGTAAATATAGATACACTGAAATGGCTAAAGCATATTCCCTAGTCTAACAAAACAATTTCTGGCCTTTCACAATCTCCAATTTTCACCAATACTAGTACACAAGAGAAACTGCTTTAGTAAGAAATCAATTTTTGCCCTATAAATAGTTCTAAAGACAAAGAATATCAGCTATCAAGGCATTATAGCATTTATAATGATAGATCAAATAAACATAATTGACTTGGTTAAAATTATTTCTCACCTCATATGTTGCAAGTCGGTCTAAGTAGGTCAATAATTTCAGTCTACAACGGCAAAGTTCCTTTTGTTCCAGTGTCAACCTGTTTTGAATAATTACAATAGGCCACTTATAGTTACATAAAAGTGTATTTTTCTAGAAATTGGAATAAAATGATTAATATCTCAACAAGGTCAAAATTCAAGAAATAATACACAAAAGCACAAAGGTAGGATAATAGTAAATGCATTTGATTTAAGTTGCTGAAATGATTTAGAGAAATTATCACTAGTAAGAACACAATGAAGTAACTAGTTGTCTTAAAGAAATTATAAAATGAATGGTAATAAATGATTTACTTTGAAAAGTTTACTAATTTAAGCAATTCTCCTCTCTTCTTGAGCTCCTTTTCCCTTTTTTTCTTGGCAGGCTCTTCATCAGATAGTGAAAGCTCCTCATAGGAAATATTCTCAATGTCTACTTCACCAGGCAATGTAAATCTGCAAGAAAAGAAAAATTTAAAAATCTATTTCGGTTTTTGGTTTTTTTTTTTTTTTTAGTTAAGGTCTCACTCTGCAGCCCAGGCTGGAATACAGTTCATCACAGTCACATCCTCCTGGGCTCAGATGATCCTTCCACCTCAGCCTCCTACAGGTATGCACCACCATGCCTGGCTAATGTTTTTATTTTCTGTAGAGACGAGGTCTCACTATGTTGTCCAGGCTGGCCTCAAGCTTCTGAGCTCAAGCAATCTTCCTGCCTCTGCCTCCTAAAATGTTGAGATTATAGGCATGAGTGCCTAGTCTAACATTTTTAATTCATGTAATAAAAAGCTGCTTTCTCCTACTTTAACTGATTTAATAATTGATTTCCACAGAAACAGAAACAATTACTTGGAAAAAAAACTGCCATTGTAAGCAAAGTGATTCATTCATTATATCCATAGCATGGGCAAAAGAATCATCACAGAAATTTAAAAATTAAGAAAATGAAAACTATTTAGGAAAACATATGATGTTGTACTCACTGCATATAAAGCAGAAAATGTTGCCCATAGTGTCTATTTGAATCACATCTATTTAAGGTCTTACAACGGTAATAAATGTCAGTCTCATTGTAATTATTTACTTCTCAGATATACTATCACATTTATATCTCAAAAGAAGTTCCAAATGTCTGATGAGCAATGGTTCTGACCAAACAACTGTCTTGCCATTGTTGTTATTAACTGACAATTGAATGTTGCTTAAAAGTTTATAATAAAGTGCTTTCACAAGATATATGACTTAATCACTCAAAGTAGTTCGAAGGAGATATGATCATACAAATAAGGAAAGTGAAGCTCACACTTGCCTAAGGGGGTTCAACTGACTAGTGAGTAAACCCAGATAAATGGGCCAGCTCAGCAATGGCCTACCTTCACTAAACATTTGTAGAGTACTCAGCTGGCGCATGCAAACATATATGTCTTAAGGAAAGAAGCTGTGACTTTGGATAAGAAAGTACTGATCAAAGGCAACTACTTCATTACAAAATAACCTAAATAAAGCTACCCAGTCCAATGTCTCAGCTCAAAAGTTTGCCAAGTCACCTTTACTTTGAACCCAATTCTATCACCAACCTGCCATCATCCACTCCTTTCCCAATTGCTAGAAGAGCCTCCAGGTCTGTGCCTTTTAATCCATACTGAAGCAGTTCTTTTGCAGCATCCACATTTTCAGGAACCCTTTCCAAACACTCATGGAGAACCCAGGATCGCTTCTTAATTTTACTCTGAATATAAAGAAAATAAAAAACAGTAGCACTAAAAAAAAACCCTGACATCTTATAGCACCTTACAAAGCCTTCAGAATTATAAAACTATACCTGAAGTATTATTGCTATTAAGACCTTGGCCACAGGTAGCTGCTAGAGGAGTTCAGTGAAAGAATAGCTAATTCCCTAATGGTGATCACAACTGGATGTAGGGCATGTGATTCCAACTGCTTGCTCTCTTCTAATGAGCCACACTGAACACAAAGCTCAGTGTTCATGTTTGGAAATATAAAAAGATCTTTCCAAACTTTTACAGTTGCCTTTGGTTTGTATTTTGGCTTTATAACAGAGTAGAAAATAAAGGAGAAAGGCAAGATACATCCTTTTGTAATTAGGAAACACGTTTAACTTTGAAACAAATGGATGAGGCAAGACACATCAAGGCTCTGTATTTATTTGACCACAAGATACATCAGAGTGTGGATGATGACTTAATCATAAAAAGTCACGGTCTGTTGTTCTTTGGAAAGACCAACAGCCTATTCCTCCCTTCCAACTTCTCCTTCCAACTGCATTCAAAATCTCTGACTTACCCTCTTCCTAAAAAAAGTGTTATGGTTACAAATTTGAAATGATATTTGACTTAAAACCTATGTTCCTTAATATGCTGCATCATATCTATTCTTTCTTTCAATGTCTCTTAATTCATTTTGCCTTTTTCGTATCTGCAGTCTCCATATCAGTTGAATATCAACACAAAACACCTGTATTTGGAAATGGGGCCTTTAGAAATTAATTAGGTCATGAGGGTGGAGCCCTCGTGATAGGATTAGTGGCCTTGTAAGAAGAGAGAAGAGAGCTTGCTTTCTCTCTTTCTACTCTGCCACATGAGAACACAACAAGAAGGAAACCACCTACAAACCAGGAAGAAAGCCTTCATCAAAAATCAAATTGGCCAACACCTTGATCTTGGACTTCCCAGCCTCTAGAACTATGAAAAATAAATGTTTGTGCTTTAAGACACCCAGTCTATGATATTTTTGTTACAGCAACCAAAACTGACTGAGACAAGGCTACATACCAACTTTAATTATGAGGGGGAGGTAGAAGGAAGTATCTAGTTGTGAGAAAGTATCTAGTTAAGCAGAAAAGGATTTTGAGGCAAGTTTAATATGTCAGTTATCTATTTATTGCCTCTCAGTTCCAAATTTTCCCTCACAGTGGGCTATGTGATAACATTTCTCATTTGCAGCTGAAACAACACTAAACTTGTCAACAGAGGGCACTGGAGGGCCGTTGTACAGGAAGTATCTAATCCTCATATGCTGTGGTTTTCTTGCTGTTATGGCTTTGCAGCCAGCAAGAACTGTGGGGAACATCCCATGGTACTTACTTCCTCCTTCTTCCCACCATTGACAATGACCATTGACAACTGAGTTTCAGCAGCACTCCCATGAGCAGATTATTTCCCAGTGAATCTCCCAGGTCACTGAGAGGAAAGCTTCCCAGCCTGCAAGCTACAGAAAGCCGACGTATGGGAATTGCCAGCCCTGGCCAAGGTTCCTTATTTACCTACCTGCCTTAAGTTGCGTGCATGCTGGTGGGGGGTTTCCTACTTGCCAATTCCTGGGGTTCTCTACCTACAACCTCAGTTCACTAACCCTCTAGCAATAGACATTCGGCTTTCCTATCCATCACACATTTTCCTGACTGCCAACCTTGGCAACTGTGGACCACCCCTGGCCTGAGGCAACCCAGAGAACTTCTCTTCCTTGTCTAAGGAAGTATGAATCTCGCACAGGAAAGGGGGCCTCCCCTTCAAGTTCATTTCCTCCATGGGTATGTTTCCTCAGCACTACGGTATTCCTTAGAGTTCTCTTAACCTCCTTGCAGTTAATCTCTTGTCACTAGAAAATAATTCTCCATATAAGGAACTTTCCCTGTTCAAATTACTGTGTGATTTCTGGCTCCCAACTAGCCCCTGACTAATTCAGGTAAAGAAAATTGATTGTGGTACCGTAAGGGGAAGGATTAAGCCAAGACCGGCTGGTTTATCAGTGAATATTTGTTCATACATCTTCGGCACCAAAGTCCAGCTGCAGGGGGAATATAACCTGACAACAAGGTAATTTTTCCAGAAGATAAAAACATACTTCTTTGGCTGTAGAAGTCAGTAATGTCAACTCTTCTAAAATGAAGCCCCCTAACCAAAAGATATTCCATAAATGTGAATTTATACCACGTTACCAAAATATTTATACATACCAAATAATTCTGAATTGAAGCAATGTTGACCGCTGACTTTCTCCACTGCCTCTGATATACTAGGTCAGTATCTAGGCCATAGGTATGAGCCAAAGACAAGGCTTCTTCATACTCTTCACTTTCAATCTTTACACAAAGGAAAAGGAAACAGGAATGTAATATTACTGAATTATCCACAGGGTCCAATGATAATATGATGAATGATGATAATCCTTTGGACATATCATCATGTTCTGGCACAATATTCAGAAGCTCACAGACACTATGAGGGCAGATAGATGGAGTGTTTCTTTTAATATTTTAACAGAAGGATGAGAGACAAAAAGTGCAAAGCTTTACAAAGTAAAACAATGGCAACACCAGGACAACAGTGGGACAGCCCAACTGCTAGTCCGAGGCTATGACACTATGGGAACAGTATAGATAAAGGAAGAGCTAAAGGTCACATGAATTGTAGGAAAAAAACAGGCTAAGCCATAAAATGGATAATCAGTCTAAATGGATTCATCTTGTATTCACTGTTTTGATTTTGATTACTTGGGTACAAATACCAGCAATATTTTCAAAAGCTTTATACTACTGACATTTCTAGCATGTGAATGATTCAACCATCCCTCTTTAAAGTTCCACCTCTATTGAAAAGTCAGCTTTCTCTCAAAAAAATCAAATAAAACTCAATGATTTCAAACTTTGTAGTACAAAGATACTCTCTAACCTTTCTCTGATAAAGTTCTTCTGGAGTCGTGGAACGCAAACTCACAAGGCGATAGTTTTTAGTGATGGTTCGTGGGCGTTTCCGTGGTGGCGCAAATCGCTCCATTTCAGTCACCAAGTAAAGGCCCTGTTTTATATAACCAAAGTAGCGAGCCTTGGTAGATATTTCACAATCAGAATCTGAATCCTCTTCTCCTTCATCTTCTTCTCCAACTCTAATCTCCAAACGAGATCGTTTCGGGGCAAGTTTAATCTCACACTAAATTGGAAACGGAGATATAAAATCAGCAGTGAGGAATTAAAGGAAACTTTTAAAAGTTAATTAAAGAAAAAATATTTCTAATTCTACTCTGGTTTGGTTAATTACACCAGTCATGTGATTAAGATTAACAACAGAATTCAAAGGAAACCAAAAACAAACACTATACCTATGAGCTCCAAGAAACATGAACATACGTTATCAGCCCCAAATCTCCTAAACTAGAGCCTGTTTCAGTAACAGGTCATTAATATGGTCTTGTAAACATATGCCTGGTAATTATTTTAGAGAAATAAAGAAGTTGGGAATGTTGATTTCTTTTACTTTTGATAATTCCATACCTGCTGTGGAAAACGAGATGAATTCATTCTTTAGAGAATGAATATGAAGGTACTAATATTTGCATTACTGAGAACACCTCTCCCTTGCCCCCTTTTCAAAATGTCCAACAGTTTCACGAAGTTTTAAGTGTGAAAGCCTGGCTGTTAAAGATAACTTTTATTCCGAACTAAACAAAGTTGGCTTAGATTTTAACATAGTTCTCTTTAAAGGACATCTTTAGACTCACTAACAAACTTTGGAATAAAAAACATTTGTCAATCTGCATTGTTGAAGTGAAAGCTATTGAAGGATGTTACACTTGAAAGACTTAAAATAAGAATTTTAAATGACCAAAACTGTAACTTTAAAGAACTAGACTCTACTTTCAAGCCTTTTGTTATGATAAACAAGTTTTTTCTGAGTAAAGGAACCAAAAATGTTAATGCTAAGTTGCCATATTTTGTGGAAATAGGTTAAAAATTGTATTTCTTAAGTAACAATACTTAAAATAACTAAAGAAGGAAGAAAAAAACTATCATTTCAGTGAAGAAATACTTTATAAAGAGCAAAATAATTACAAATTTTCTTCATTCTCTTAAATTGCAATTTTTTATTCACTAAACAACAGATTTTGGTAATGGATTTTTAAAATATACTGTACTCAATGTTTAATTCTATTCATTCATTCATTTTTAGGCAGGGTCACGCTCTGTCACCCAGGCTGGAGTGCAGTGGTAGGATCACGGCTCGTTTCAGCTTCAACCTCCTGGGCTCAGAGGTCTATGTTGCCTAAACTGGTGTTTTTTTGTTTTTAAAAGTAAGAGTAGATTATGAGACAACTAAAATGAAAAGCCAGACATGTTTTCAAGCAAAGGGGAAAGCCTTACCTCCAAACTTAAAAATCCCCCCTCATGGGTTGCAGTGACTTGAGGTGATGGTTCAAACCATTCACAGGACTTTCCCAGCAAATTCTTCAAAGTTTTCACTGATGAAACAGTTAAAGCACCAGAACATCGTGCCAAAATCACTGCACTGTCTGCCCACCAGTTGACATCTATCAACGGGTAAAAGGATTCTTTATCTAATGGGGGAAAAGTCAATCAATACAAATGCACATATGAATGTGGTTTAAATACAACATACTTAGTATAATAATCAATTTAAAAAATAAATTCACTAACATTAATTGGGCCCTAAAGGCATGTTAAATAAGAAGAAAAAACCTAAGCCATCATTCAAATTTTTATACTGGCACTTAATGAACACCCAAGTGTCAACTAATTTATCAATCAACAAACATCTAAAGCTGTAGGAATACAAAGGGAAATAAATTAAGGTTCTTCATCACAAGAATACACTGAGGAGAAAGAGATGTCACTATTCTCAATATAATAAGTTGAAAGGTAGGTGTGTACAAGGTATGTATATAGGAAGGCTATAAAAGGTTTAAGAAAACATACATCGCCGGGCTCGGTGGCTCAGCCTGTAATCCTGCGCCTTTGGGAGGCTGAGGTGAGTGAACTGCCTGAGCCCGCGGGTTCGAGACCCGCCTGGGCAGCGAGACCTCATCTCTACAATGAATCAAAAAATTAGCCGGGCATGGTGGTGCACGCCTGTAATTCCGGCTACTTGGAAAGCTGAGGCAGAAAGATAGCCGGAGCCCGGCATGTCGAGGCTGCGGTGGCCAGGAGCGGCCGCTGCACTTCGTCTGGGCGACAGAGTGAGACTCCAACTCAAAAAAAAAAAAAAAAGAAAAGAAAACATACATCTATCGCTCTTAAACAATGAGAGAATTCACCTTTTAGAAAAACATAGAACAGACATATGGTAGTTTCCAGTGCTGATTTCCTGTTAAGTTTGGAACTAATCAGAGAGGAAAATACATTCAAGGTTGATAAAGAATCTTAAGAGCTAAAAAATGAATTCTGGTTCACCAAACCGAGCCATTCAAAAGGAAATGCCACAATATTTACTACAATTTTATTGTACATTTTTTAACCTCGCCTGTTACACAGAAGATATGACATGGTTTAAAGATAAACATGTAACGGGAAGCCATAAATCTAAAAGCATACTTAAACATTAGACTAAAGAAGAGAGAGATTTTTAAATTGGGAGTTTAGCACTATGAGAATAATTCATTATTTTATTTTTTTTTTTTTTTTGAGTTGGAGTCTCACTCTGTCACCCAGACTGGAGTGCAGTGGCCGCTCCCGGCCACCGCAGCCTCGACCTGCTGGGCTCCGGTGATCCTTCCGCCTCAGCCTTCCGACTAGCCGGAATTACAGGCATGTGCTACCACACCGGCTGATTTTTTGATTTATTATAGAGATGAGGTCTCGCTGCCCAGGCGGGTCTCGAACCCGCGG